CATTTATACGTTAATTAAGAACTCTTATCTTCGCTCCTCTTGTTCCTCTTATTCATGGCTTTATTTTGGTGATTTCGAAAGTTTCTTGGTTTGGCCATGTTTGTTTGTTGTAGTACAGAGTTAGACTGATGGCCTTAATCTAAGTTGTCTTGTGGTTGTTGTTGTTTGACTTGCATCCCACTGGGATTTTTGCACACAGCGTTGGTGCACGGTGCTTTTTATGCAATATTTTGCTGCCTTTTTTTTGATGTTCTGTTTGCACTTAGTCACATAGTCACTTTAAGATGGTTTCTTGTTCATGTTTTAGTTTTTTGTTTGTTGCGGTTGCACCCGATTCAAGAGCCGAATGGCTCACAGGGCTATACATAATAAATTAAACTGAACTTGAAGGCTGGCATCGATGTGCGGTAACTCTTTATGACCCCTCTCTCGAGTCTCATTATCCGTGTTGGTATGGAATTGTGGGATCGTAAGTTTATCAGTGTAGTGAATGCGGAACAGAGTGAGTTGAGGTTTGTAAGACCGAGGATGGGCGTAATGCTGAAAAGGAAAGTTTACATCTCCAGATCAGCTCTATCCCTAGTGAGCAGACAGTACAGCATTTGCGTACAGCTTTTGGAAACGATTCCTGTGAATGCATTTGTATGTATTGGGTACCAGAGGGCAGTCCTGTATTTATGGGACTTTTTTTCCAGTATCAAAGTGTGAAAAATAAGAGTCGGGTTTACCCTTTCTGGCAATAAAAAATAGATGTTAAGATGTTCAAACACCAAATAGCTACCTTTTTAAAGGCATCAAGTCTGCATCAACCACACGCACCTGTCGTACCTGTGGTACGTTGTGGTTAATGGTGTTTGAACATATTAACAACTATTTTATTGCCATGAAGGGTAAACCCTCTTCTTATTTTTCACACTTTGATACTGGCAAAAAAAGTCCCATAAATATGTTTCGCCCTTTCACCTGAGGACGATCGATTGTTATTGCGATCGAAGCGTCGTGATCTATTAGTTAATTATTTTCCTATCTACGTGACTTTGCCGAAATAACCTAGGAGTATGAAATCCTGCAGTCACGAAAGCTTCTAATTAAGATTGAACCGCTTCTACGGGGAGGTTTTCCACACAACTCAGACATAATTTCAACCGAGAAGATGGATGCAAAATTTAGCAATCTTTGGCAGGACTTGATCAACCAGGTAAAGTGTTAACTGTTGTGTTAGCCGACTCTCTGAGTTGCATTACATGATTGTTAATGAGGGGGGGGGTCCATGTGGAGGACATAACCTGTTCATGATTATTAAAGAGGGGGGCTAGTCGACGTGGAGTGACGTCACGAGCGTTGCACACAGACATTCTTGGCTCATTATAGTAGGTATTAATCATGGAGGGGGGGGGTCCATTTGGAGGACGTCACCTGCTCATGATTATTAATGAGGGGGGCTGTTCGATGTGGAGTGACATCACTTTCTCATGATTTTTGGTGAGGGGGGAAGGAGTCCTCCATATTGAGTGACGTCACTCACTCATGATTATGAATGAGGGGTGGGGTGTCAATTTGGAGGACGTTACCTGCTCATGAATATTAATGAGGGGGACTGGTCGATGTGGAGTGATGTCACGAGCGTTAAGGACAGACATTCCTGGGAGGATATAGTAGGTATTGGCTTATTGAGTGGTCGTAGGTTTAACGACATTTATATTTACGCGATCTAACCTAAAAAAAACTTTTATGAACACTTTAACATGTTCGATTATAGATAATATTAAATTATCAAACAAATATTTGCATTTAAATGTCGATTATCACACGTAATTGTAATTCTAGAAAATGATTCAATGTCGATAATTAAGGACATATTCATCACTTCATGTCGAAAATGTAGGATATATTGTTTATTAAATACAGAATGTCGTCGAGTTTTTGGACATATAATCAATCATATCAACAAATATGCCATAATATTTATTTAACACGTAGGTTTTTTTAAACAATGACTTATAGTTATATTTCGAACGAAACTTATTTAATTGCTAAGTTTGGTTTTGGGGTTTGGTTTTCAGCTTACCGGTGAGCTGAAACAATCATAATTGGTGCATTGTCAAATGCTTATATACCACGTCACAATGTGGCTGTGTCGCGTAGTGGATACTGATCTGGTTTGAGCATTGCATGGCATAACCCAACACCAATTATGAAAGAGAATATTTCATTCTCTCCTTTGGTATGTCAGGTGCAGTATAAATCACTGTGAATGCTCAGTATCCTAGGATGTTAGTTGGGATGAGAATAATTACTGATGTTTAGTTTCATTACCTTTATTGACATGTCATTTTATTCACACAGGTGATGAATCTTCTTGATTATCGTGATACGGATATAGCTCTAATTACAAAAGGGCAACTGGAAGGCAAACAATCGCAGTTGGACATCGAGCATGTGAAAGAAGAAGGATTTTGGCAGTATATGAATCTGCTTTATTGGAAACCTACGGTAATAGTTTGTACAACTTTCTCATTTGTAAGTTAAGGTAATACTTTAAACTAGTAGGAACGAAGTGAACCAGCCTACAATAGATTATATCGTCCGTCCGTCCGATGTCCGATTAGGTGTAGCAACATCGCTGCAAACACTTGGCAGGACCCTACAAAAACCTTTAGACTCAGTGAGGCTTTCCTGGCTAAACAAGTGTAACATTCCCTTATAATTCCCTGAGATAGTTTTTAATTAAAACATTTAAATTCAAAATTAACTCACAGCGGCCTAAAGCCTACAGCTAGGCCTAAAGCCTAGAACTAGGCCTCAAACTCTCCCTTCGTATCGTACCCTCGCCATTTCATTTTATTATAGCCATTTATTTGTTCGTTCCTACCAGCCCACCCCGCAGGGACCTGTTCGTAACTGTGAAGTGATTTTTTTCTTGGAGTCCACGGTGTTGTTGAACTGAGGCCATACAACTGAATACTTATTCACCTTTGAATAGGCCATTCATTGATTTTGCTGCGACAAAACATGTGTACATTAATCACAGTGTGATAGCCCACTGCAATTGTGTCACTTGCCAATGGTTAGGGCTTATAGGTTATAGGATAAAATATAAAATAAAGTGTCGGGATATTCTCATCTGCCCTTCCATTGAATGACGATTCTAAGGGAAGCTCAGAGGCGATCCTGCCTCAAGTTGAACCGCTGCGTGCGGCATAGCCAACCGGATCTGGGAACTGAAGGTGGTCGCAGGAAGTCATCAGCTGCGGCTGGCTCAGACGAAATTGATTTCTCTAAGACGATGGTACTTTGCAAGCCAACTGGCTATGAACAAAGATTCGTTCACGAAGCTATCCATATATATTCTAGATTTGAAGCTTTCGTGACTGCAAGGATTCATATTCTTAGGTTTTTTCGGTAAAGTCACGTAGGTAAAACATCAAAATTAATGAAAATAAATAAATAAATAAAATAAAACAAAATAAATAAAAAATCACGACGTTTCGGAGGCAACACAAGTCTCCGTCATCAGGTGGGACCGTCACAGCCGAATTAGCTGCATTTTTATTTTATTTTCATTAATTTAGATGTTTTACCTACGTGACTTTACCGAAAAAACCTAAGAATATATATCCATATATACAGACATAGACACAATTTCAACCGAGAGGATCGTTATAGACTCAGCAATCATTGGAAAGATGTCATCAACCACTTTGGGTCATGACTTGACTTGTCAATAAACCTCCACTGTCCGCAGTGTGGTGTGTGGGGCGGGGTGCAGTGATTTCCTGGCGGCCCTTTGCTGCATTGGCATTGCTGCTGCATTAGCATTGCTGCTGCATTGGCATTGCTGGTGCTGCCGATACACTTGGTCTACGCCCATCTCCAAACCTTTAGAAACAGTGTGCCTTCAGAGGCTAACCCCTTTTCCTGATGACGACCGTTTGTGTTGCGATCGAAACGTCGTGGTATTTTATTTTTTTCTATCTACATGACTTTACTGAAAGAACCAAAGAATATTAATTCCTGCAGTCACGAAAGTTTTAAGTCAAAATTAGTTTAGAATATATTTTACTTTGAAGGATGTGAATAGAGATAACGTGAAAGTATGTTTTCATTCACTTTAGATGTATCACTGAAGAGTGCAGTTTCTTTGGTAATGTTGTTAATCTCTTTATGGAGCAGGAACTATTCGATGGAGACAGTGGAGTTCTCGACTTTAACTCAGTTAAGAAAAACATTCCCCATGTTTTTAATTCTGGAGGTCCATTCACCATTTTAGAAAAATCTACAAAATGTAAGGTATGTATATTTTCTCACTATATGTGCTTTAATTCTGTGAATCATTTACATAAAACAAAACATGTGATGCTGTGTAAAAAAAATACTCAACATTTTTGTCAATAAGACTGATTTAAAATAAACAATAATATGTGAGAAGTTTCGGGTAAAGGCCTTTCTGCATAGCGCAATGAATAAGAGAGGTCAGAGATATATTATGTATAGTGCTTGGAGACTGCCCTTAATACCATGGGGCATGATGAGAATTACAATCAAATTTATTTTTCTGATTACCATGGGCATCAAACACCCACATGATCGGGCAGCAGTGTGGCTTCAAGCACACACACGGCATACCCAGAGCTGGCCTCAGGAGATGGAGACTGGAAGAGTCTGTGGGGGCCGTTGGCCCCCGGGGTCTTCCCCGCCTGCATCCCCTATTCCGTTTGCGTTACCGCACTGCCCTAATACCCGCTAGGGTTTCGCCGGCATTCGAACGCGACGCCCCTACTCATACAGCCTCGCGCAGCGCTCCCACGCTGCGAGCGTACGTACGCACAGCATCATCAATCAAACGCCATACTCCCCCTCACGCAGCTTCGCGCAGGACTCACTCGCTACGAGTATACGTATACACAGCCCCGCTCGCGTTCGTGCTCCCTCTTTATGCAGCCCCACACGGTACTCGTCTCAACACTGAATTCTCACGTTATGATCGCACACCTGTATCATACACGTAGTGAACGTATGCACACACCCACACACAGCTCCGCGTGGCACCCACTTCCACGTCGAATAACCACGTTACAATTGCGCACCTGTATAACGCGGATCATACACGTGGTGAGCGTACGCACGCACACACAGCTCCGCACACTCCAAACGTGACACCTCTTGCGCCGCTCTGCGCAGCGCTCACACGTGGCGAGCAAATGTATACTCAGCACCACACGCGTTCACACTTCTCAGCGAGATCACACGAGGCCACGATCAGCTATTAATGATTTATTATCGGCTGCCTGTGAATTGTTGTTAAATCAGTGTGAATCGACGAGGCTGGCCTACTCTGATACCCCTGGGTCTATTCCCGATTTATCTGCTTACGATACGCTTTTACCTTCTTACTCACGGTTTGAAGCACTCGGCGTTCCGTGGGTTTTCCTCGCTGTTCACCTCGACACGTCTCATGGAAGTCTGGATGGCCTAGCTGGGAGCCGCCTCGAACGCTGGCTTCTTGGAGTGAGAGACCTCTCTACCTCGCTAAGTTCGCTTTTTATCTCCCCATCCCAGGGCCCCGCCTCCCGAGTCCTCTTCGTTCCTCCGGCGCTTACGTGCGGCGCGCACTCTAATTAGTCCCATTCTCATGCCCCCCATAACAATGGTTGTGCGCGGCGCGCATTCTAATTAGTCCCATTCTCATGCCCCCCATAACAATAGGTGTTTTATCCTATCTCCCCGTCCCAGGGCCCCGCCTCCCGAGCCCTCTTCGCTCCTCCGGCGCTTATGCGCGGCGCGCACTCTAATTAGTCCCATTCTCATGCCCCCATAACAATAATTGTGCGCGGCGTGCATTCTAATTAGTCCCATTCTCATGCCCCCCATAATAATGGGTGGTCGGCTTGACTGCGCCGGTGCACGGTGCCTTTGTTATGTCAATCAGCCATCTCGCTCCTCCTCTGCTTGCCTCGTCGATACGTGTGTGTGTGGGGGTGCGTTTCAACCGTGGGGGCTGGGTGGCCCCCGCCGTGACCAGGTATTCTCAACTCAGGTTACAGCGCCACGGTGCGAAGTAGCACCAGGGGAGGTCGTCCAATTCCCTGGCCGCTGGAAACCGTGAAGATTATCCCAATAAGGGCTTCTCGGGTTAAAACCGGTCAGCCAGGTGACCTCCCCTCGGAGCTCTATGGGGGGGGGGGGGGGGGGAATGCGTGCGGGTGTGTTTATGTGAGGTGAGGTGAGGGAGAAGCGGGGTCGGCTCCGTCACTTGGTGGTGGCGAGGTCGGGGATGGGGCGCCCGCCGAGCGGCTTCGTGGCGGCGGCATCACATAGCCCCCCGAGGTGCGAGTCCCCGTCCCGGGCTGACTGGAGCACCTCGTCTGGGCCGCACCCACGAGGAAGCGCTGCGGGGTTCGGGGGGTCCGTCCGGACCTCGTGGCTGATCTTGGGGTGGGTGGCTCCGTCCTCTGGGGTTCCTGCGGTGGCCTCCTCCTCCACTCCAACGGCTCTCCTTGTCCTTCGGCACCTGCGGGCTGGGGTACAAACTCAGCAGCAGAAGGGTTTAGGGGCCGTCGTCCCCACCGTCCCGCCTCTGGGCTGGGGGTCCGGCGGGGCCCATGTAGCGCGCGAGGCCCTCGAGCCTGGGTGGTGTGGGGGCCCCGTGGGTTCGCGGTACTCGGGCAGCGGGGTTCTCCTCCGCCGGGGCTGCCCTCCATGGTTTTAAGCGGCGGACGTTGACCACCGTTTCGCGCCCCCTCTCTCCACCCTGGATCAATACCGTCCAGGGGGAGATCTGCCGCACCACGGTCCAGGGTCCTCGCCAGTAGGTCGTCAGCTTCCCCACCTCTCCGGTCCCGACGTGTGGGGTGTGTAGCCACACCTTTTCGCCTGTCGAGAAGAGGGGTGGCTCCACGCGGGGTCGGGTGCTCTGCTCCTGTCACCGATGCGCGGCCTCCCTCTGCGGGTAGGCCCGGTCCCGGGCCCCTAGTAGGGTCTCCATCAGGTGCTCGACGGGGCGGCTCCCTTCTTCGGTTTGGGGTGGGGGAACACCGAACAGCAGATCTGCGGGTAAACGAGACTCATGGCCAAACATAATTAGGAACGGGGTTTGTCCCGTCAATGTGTGTTCAGTGGTGGCATAGGTGAACAGGGCGTAGGGAAGGTGTTCGTCCCAATCCCGTTGATTTGCGGCCGCCATACGTTTGAGCTTCCCCGCTAAGGTCTGATTCATGCTCTCCACCATACTGTTCGCTTGGGAGTGATAGGCTGTGGTTCAGTCCTTCTGGATTCCGAACTCTTGGCACAGCGCTTGGAACAGCTCGGCCTCGAACTCGCTACCCTGGTCGGTGAGGACTCGTTCCGGGATCCCATACTTAAGTACGTAATGCTCTACGAATGCCCGGGCCACCACCAGGGCCGTTTTGTCAGGGATGGCCACTGCCACGGGGTAGCGGGTGAAATACTCCACCGCTACGAGGATATACCAGTTGCCTCGATGGGATCGTGGAAATAGCGCCTGTAGGTCGATCCCGACTAGCTGGTTCGTGCGGCTGACGCGGAACGGCCTTAGGGGTACCTGATATCGTGCCGGTTTCGGCCCGCACTGCTGACAAGCGCGGCAGCCCTGTACCCAGGCGGCCACGTCTTGTGCCAATTTGGGCCGGAGATACTGGAGACGCAGTGTCTCCCGAGTGCGTTGTTCCCCGTCATGGCCCCCGACCGGGTGGTCATGCATCAGCCGCAGCAGCTGGAGTCGCACCTGGGCAGGAACACAGATGCACCCCGGCTGGTCGGCCACGGTTAACTCCTGTACCACCCCGTTCTGCACACACAACCGGGCATGCAAACCGCTCCAGGGGTGGTCCGCCTGGTCCCGAGCCGTGGGTCCCGCGCTTGCCGGGCGGTTGATGGGATCCTCGGTGCCACCTGTGAGGGTCTCTGTGGCGCACACCGCACTCTCTCTTGCTGGGGGGGGGTCAGGGGTCGCGGCCTCTCGGGGGTCCGTTGCTTGCCGGCAGCGTCACCCCGTGAAACACGGGCAGGCCTCCTCCAGCCTTGTCTCGGCGTACACCGTGGGCCGCCTCGATAAGGCATCCGCGTTTGCATGCGTCCGGCCAGCCCGATACTCGATTTGTAGGTTGTACTCCTGCAACTGCGCCAGCCACCGGGCCATCTGCCCCCGCGGCTCCTTGAATGTAAGAAGGAACTGCAGAGCATAATGGTCAGTGCGTACGCGACATTTCCTGCCGTACAAATACGGCCGGAACTGCTTACATGCGAAAATCACTGCATACAATTCTTGGCGGGTTACACAATAGTTCAGCTCGGCCCCACTCAAGGTCCGGCTGGCGTACGCGATGACTCGTTCCGTCCCATCCTGCACCTGTGACAACACCGCGCCCAGCCCGCTGCTGCAGGCGTCGGTGTCCAAAATAAAATCGGTGGTAAAATCGGGGAAAGCGAGGGTGGGGGCGTGGGTGAGGTGGTCTTTGAGAGTGGTGAAGGCCGTCTGGCAGGCCCCCGTCCACTGATAGGGGTTCTTAGGGGAAGTGAGTTAGGTGAGGGGGCGTGCAATCTCGCTGAATCCCTTTACAAATCGACGATAATAGGTGGCGAGCCCCAAAAATAATCTGATCTCCGTCAGATTCCTTGGCCGTGGCCAATCCACTACGGCGCATACCTTCTCCGGGTCAGTGCGCACCCCTGCGTCGGAGGTACTCCACCTCGTGCTGTGCGATGTAACACTTACGCGGCTTGAGCTTGAGATGAGCCGCTTGCAATCGCTGGAACACCTCCCGTAACCTGGACCAGTGCTCAGACAGAGATCTACTGAACACTATCACATCATCCAGGTAAATCTGTTCCCATTGCAAGCCCCGTATCACCAACTCCATCAGCCGCTGGAACGTCGCGGGCGCATTGGTGAGTCCGAACGGGAGTACTCGAAACTCGAATAGTCCCATCGGGGTGGTGAATGCGGTTTTCGGCCGATCCTCCTCCGTCATCTCCACCTGCCAGTACCCGGACGCGAGATCGAGGGTGAGAAATATCGCGCTCCGGCGAGGCTGTCAAAAGTGTCGTCGATGCGGGGTATGGGGAAGGCGTCGCCGAGGGTGACTGCGTTCAATTTACGGTAATCGACGCAGAACCGGGTTGACCCATCCTTTTTCCTTACTAGTACCACTGGGGCCGACCAGGGGCTCGCCGAGGGCTGAATTATGTTATCGCGAAGCATGTCCCCAAACGCCTCTTTGATCTGGGCGCGTTCGGGTGCGCCCACTCGGTACGCAGGGAGTTTGATGGGT